TCTATGGTAAATTTTGCCCAAATACTAGAGCTTTGCCCCGCCATCCCAGATGTGATGACATCACTTCCAGGTCACATGGACAGTGAAGTAGACACAATGCTGCCCTTCAGATGGATCTCTGTCTTTCTGGGGGTATGTTCCCCCCTACTGGCCAACTGATCAGTCATGGGGAGGGGAAGCCTGGAAGCAGGGGACCCCCCCACCTCCACCAGGGGAGGGTCTGGCAACCCTAGGTGGGCAGCAGACAGGGGGCCCTTGCCAAGTGGCCTTGGCTGCCATCTTCACAAGCCAGCAGCCATCAACCTGTGCAAGGCGACAGGCCTACTTTATCTCCCCCTCCATTGGAGGGGGGGGGTCGGCATGAATCAGGGCCATTTCTTCTTCCCAATCCACCCCCATAGACATCATTGGACACAGGGTGCTTCCCCCAGAGTGGTGGAGCGAGTGGTTCATCTTATGCAGGGCTACAAGGGTCAATTTCATCTCCTGTGCTATGTAATATTTATGTCAGGCCAGTCGGGAGTCAGATGTCATCAATATGGCGACGAGGCCAAGCTCCTCGTCTGGTTGTCTGATCTCCCAGACGTGACTGTTTTGGTTCTGAACCGGTGCTCTGAGGCGGTGGTGAAGTGGCTGAGGCAGAACAAGCAGAAGTCGAATCCAGGCAAGGAAGAGGTTACGGGGGCTGCTGTTCCGGAGGAGTGGATCCACTTCTTCTGGTTGGGAGGGCGTTAATCCTTGCAGGGCGGGTTTAAGAGTTCAGGGACCCGGCTCGGCTGCTTGAGAAGCAGGTTGATGAAGTCATCAAAACCATCTTCTTATCAGCGGCGTTCGATTTGTCATTCCCCCATTTTTTAAAAAGATTATCCTGTCCTAACCATGCAGATCCGCGCTTTTGCAACCTCATGGTAGAACTATTGTAGCAAATTCTGTGTAGGACTGCAATATCTGTCAATGGTTCTCTGCTCTATTTAGTTGGCACAACCGAAGATCTTTTTTCTTAACAGGACATAGCTACATCAGGGATCGCCAGTGCAGTGACTGTGGGTACCGTGGTGCCCCCCAGCACCTTTCCTGGTGCCCACCAAGTGCTTTTAGAAAGTGGGCAGGACTAGGTGGGTTTTCCCCCCAGCTGGGCTTCTGATTGGCTGTGCAGATTAAAAGGCACCCTGTTAAACAGAGCACAGGCCTGAAATGCTGGAGCGTTACTATTAGAGCTGTATATAACTTCGACCGTTGACATTTTGTGGTTGGCCCCCCCTCCCGCTGCAGCCATGTTTTGATTGGCTCCGCCTTCTGTGGCAGCCATTTTGTGATTGTACTCACTGCCCTTGGTCAGAATTTCACAGCCACAAAAAGGTAGGGGGACTCTGGACTAGAGGATACTCATTCATTGGCTGGTAGCTTCTTCCTGTTTGAACTAACATATCGGGGTGGGCATGCCTGACCTTCTTCCTGTATGTGTGTGTGCGTCTAGTTAAACAGAAACTGTTTGGCACAGCAACTGGGATGTAGCCAGAAAAGGAGTCTTAACTGGAAGTTCAAAAAGTCTGCTATTCATTACCTGGGGGGTTGGTTCTTCTTTATAACTCACCTGGGCTGCATTCCTGTAAGTACTATTATAAAAATATTATCTCAATGACTGTCTTCTCAAGGGAACCAGCCCCATAATAGGTTGTTCTGGAGGGGCTGGGGGGAGGCAGAATCACTTATTCCCTTCCATATCATCTTAATTTTCCTGCAGGTTTTGTTTCGGGCGAAAGACACGGAGAGCAAACTGAGCAGTCAAGTAGTGCGAGGAAACCACACCCTTTCCATCCTTCTGGCCGGCCTGCGCAAATACGTGATCTACCAGATCCAGGTGTTGGCCTTCACGCGCATTGGCGATGGGGTCCCCAGCTCTCCTCCAGTCGTCGAGAGGACGAAAGATGATGGTGAGCGTGGTGGGTCGTCGGGGCCTTACTGTTTTAAACCTCGGCCTGTTCTCTTTAGGTATACTCCAAAATGAATATTTTCGCCACCTCTCAGCTTGATTACATTTTTTAATCCGAAGGAGCCAGATCCTTCCCGAATGTAAACAGGCCGAGTCCCATTAGCCCCTAGCTGCGAATCTTCTCCCGAAATCTCCATCTTTCCCCCCACCTCCTGTAATTGACAAAAAAGGCTACTTTGCTCTAAAACCTTATATTTTTGCCCTCTCAGCTTGATTACACTTTTTAATCTGAAGGAGCCAGATCCTTCCCGAATGTAAACAGGCCAAGTCCCATTAGCCCCTAGCTGCGAATCTTCTCCCGAAGTCTCCGTCTATTCCCCCACCTCCTGTAATTGACAAAAAAGGCTACTTTGCTCTAAAACCTTATACTTTTGCCACCTCTCAGCTTGATTACATTTTTTAATCCGAAGGAGCCAGATCCTTCCCGAATGTAAACAGGCCGAGTCCTATTAACTCCTAGCTGCGAATCTTCTCCCGAAATCTCCGTTTTTCCCCCCACCTCCTGTAATTGACAAAAAGACTACTTCGCTCTAAAACCTTATATTTTATTGTCAGTTCCAGCCCGAAGCAAATTTTTACAACCCAATTATGAACTCCTACAGAAATCCAATCATAGCAGTAAAAAAAAAGAAGCCGTGGCATAATGGGACATGATAAACAAACCTTACTGTGATTGAACGTGAGGGAGACGTAGCGTCTCTCGTCCCAGGAGCGCTCCTAAAATAATCTTGAATGAAAGAATAATAAAATGACCTTTGGAGGGGGGAGGGAAATTAGCACACGAACATTATTTCTGTACTTCTCTCCAGTGCCTCGGATTTCCCAATCTGAGTTTGACATATTGAAAGGACAAGAGATGTTCTTGGGCTGATTGGGAAAAAACTGTGTATTCATTAACCACACGCCGCCGCCGTGGCTTTACCAGGGGATTATACGGATCTGTGGAGGAGACACCGATCACGGTCTGCTAGCCATGGTGACTAAAGGGAAACCTCCACGTCCAGAGACAGTCAACCTCAGAAGAGCAGTGCCAGGCAGTGTTCCCTCTAAGCTGAATGAGTGTGAGCTAGCTCACAGTTCTTTAGCCTCCGGCTCACACACATTTTTGCCTCAGCTCAGGGAGGATGGCTCGAGAGCAAACGAATTCAGGCAGCAGCCAAGTCGCTCGCTCACAACTTTAATGCCAGGAGCTCACAAAGTAGAATGTTTGCTCCCAAGACTCCACAGCTTAGAGGGCGCGTTGGCCAGGAGGCATCATCAGGGAAGGCAAGGGTTTTTTAATTCGGGGGTGGTGGTTAAATAAGTCAGGGGGCACCCCGCTCACACACCCCCAAGTGAGCACCATCGATAAAATAACAAATTGAAAGTTGGGGGGCCTAGGCTGGATGGGAAGTCGGGGGGGGCTTGGTAGTAAGTCAGGGGGCTGGGCCCCAAGAGGCCCCACTGTAGCCACAGGCCTGCTCTATGCCCTGTCTGCTACACCACTGGTCTAATCCATCAAGGGCATCTCTTGTTGTTTTTATGTACATGGCCAATCAGGGCTTCAGGGGGAAGAAAGTTTTCCGTGTGCTCAGCCCCACCCTCCTTTGTGCTTGAAGTACCACAAGGATTCTGGCCCTGCTGCTGCTGCTGCTGCTTCCGTGGGGGAAGATTTTTCCAGCTGTGGCCGAGTAAGATCAGGCGCTCAGCCTTGTCCTCCTCCAAGTCTGAGGCCCCCTAAGAACATCTGCCTTGAGAAAAGGACTAAAATCTGCTAAGTGAGGTAGGGAACTTCTCGGTGGTGCTCCCTGTCCCCTGCTTTCGCTCAGTGGAGCCGCTGTAGGAAGATGAGGAGGAAACGGAACTGGGAAGTCGATTCCTGTTTCAGAACAGGAAGTGCAATGACGACACCATGGGGATTTCAAAATCTCTGTGGTAAAACAATAGAGATTTCTGAAATTCCTAGGGTGCTGTGATGTTACTTCCTGTTTCAAAACGAGAACTCGCTTCCAAGAAATATCTGCTCCTTCCCTCCATTACTCCCAGGACATGAGAATGGCTATATCTGTCTAGCTATCTATTGTCTGTCTATTTTGTATTATCATGTCTGTTCAGACTGTGACCTTTGGGTCCCACATGATGGGATGAAAGTAAGAGAGATTCATTTTAAAACAAGCAAGTAGATCAGATTTTGTGACATGTTGATGTCACTGTGGGCAAATGAAGACAATACGAAGTGGGGGCGGTACTTCTTGAACACGGAACGCTTTCGGTTTATTTATGACACATTCACTGAAAAGCCACCAAAAGGGATTGTATGTTTTGCTGTCCGAAATCCTCATGAAATGCACCCCTACACCCACACAAGAGAGCTCAGTTTTCAGTACTCAGATCAGCCCCGTAGCCAGGAATTTTTCCCTAGGGGGGTGCTAATTAAATTAAAGTGGATTCAAAGGCAACTGACTCCCAAGTCCGCACGCAGAGGGCTGAGGCCAGGCCGCTGTTCTCTGCCTGTCTAATGGGCAGTAAGTCACACTGGGATATCATGGGGAAAGTGTGCTTAGGTTGTCGTGCAATCCCTTACTTGGGAGTAGACTTATAGAACACCACCAGGCTTGCTTCTGAGCAAATTCAGAAGGACTGCCCGGATGATTGAATTGATCCCTATTGTTCTCAGGACTTGGACAGAAGGGGGAAAGGGCTAGAGGCTCCACCCTCCAAATCTCCAGGCATTTCCCAACCTGGAGCTGGCAACCTACTGGAGGCCTTACAAATTGAGTCATCAGAGGAAGATCCCCAGCCCAAAAGATGCCCATCTGGGCTCGACTAGGGCCAGAGCCTTTTCAGCCCTGGCCCCAACCTGGTGGGATGAGCTCCCGCTAAAGGTCAGGGCCCTGCAGGACTTTTTACAGTTCCGCAGGGCCTGTAAGACGGAGCTCTTCCACCAGACTTTTGGGTGAGGCAGCGGATGTCAAATATCACCTGGCCCCTCCTGTTACCTCTCTGTTACCATCTATATTACGGTCTTCAGTTTCCGAGGACATGGAATGACAGCCACTTTGGTCTAACCCAAGGAAGGGTATCCATAATTTTGATTTTTTTCCCCCCCGGATCCAGCCCTTCTGTTTTGATTTTCTAACACCATAGCTGCGGTGTTAGCTGTGGTGTAGTTCGTTCGCCATCGTTTAAGGGTTAAGTTTATAGTTTTATCTGATTTTACTGTTTTATCCTAATGTTGTAACCCGCCCTGAGCCTGCTTGCGAGAAGGGCGGGATAGAAATTGAATGAATGAATTAAATAAATAAGATCAGTGAAGTCCACGTTCAAGGGACCAGCGACCTGTGACTCGCAAGCCAGATGTGGCTCAATACTGCAGCAGATCTGGGCCTGTGAGCACACAGGGGTGCTCGCATCATTCCAGCTGCCTCTGCGGTGGCTGGCACATGGCGCAAGCAGAGCACCACGAAATCCCCACTGGCTGCAGGAGCTCTAGACAGGGAGCAGCAACATCTGGGAATGACAGCTGCTGCTGA